CCACGTCTGCGGGGTCCCTCCGTCCTCTTCGTTCCGGTCGCCCATAGGAGAGCAAGGTTACGTCTGACGCTAGGTGGCGCTCTCCCACCACTTTTAGTATTGGGCGGTTTCAGGTCGGTCCGCGGCATCTTCCGTCCCACCCCCGATCCCCCTTATTCCCCAAGTAACTTAATTGCGCATCCCAAGGGGGGGGGGGCGCAAAAGCCACAGTAAACGAGGTCAGTGGCTTCCACGAACCCGGTGCCCCCAGGTTTGAAAGAAAGCATCTCCTCTTCTCTCCCCCTCCCCGGAGCCTGCACTGTGCCGAGCCCCTGTTTCTCGAACTTCTGTAAAGACAGTCCTCCGGGATTGCCCGTTGCCAACCCTAATGACGGTCCTGGTCGCTCTTATTGCTCTTCCCAATGGGCCGCCGGGCATCCTGCCGTCGCTCATCTCGATATCTCACGGGAGGGGCAGGGTGCTCAGCAGAGGTCAGTTTTCTGGAGCCGGGTGTTGTTCGAGGCAAGAGCCAGATCGCTCTTTGGGAGCTTGCAAGGTTGTTCCGTGGGAAGTTTCCACCGGCGCCTGGGTTTGAAGTCGTCCTTGTGGCAGAGCTTCAAAGGCGGCTGGGAGAGAGACTGACCAGAGGGAAATTGACCAAAAGAAGGGACGCACCTCTGTCGGGGAAAAAGGCTGGCGTGTGTGCGTGTGGCGTGCGTGTGTGTGTGTGTGTGGGGGGTGTCCAGAGCAGAACTGGAGGGGTGTGTGTGTGTGTGTGTATGTGCGCGCGGGGGGTGCGGGGGGGGGGGGGGGGGGGGATCTTGCTAGAGTTTATCTGGTGTGAGAAGCAGTGACGGGTGTGAATGTGTGTCTGAGCGAGGGAGAGGGTGGGAAGCAGGGAGGAGGGGGGGGAATTATTGGCAATGGGCGGGAGAGAATGAGGCGAATCCTGTTTCTTCTCCTTTCCGCCAGTCCAATCTCGGCTCATTTTCTCGAAGCGATACAACTCCGCGGACAGCAGCCTTCGCGAGCCTGACTCTCTCCGCGACCATGGACCGGCCAGGTAACCGACGCGTCCCCACCACCACCACCCGTTCCGCTTTGACGCCTTTGGAACGCTGGCTGCAGAACCCCCCGGAAGGGACGAGGCAGGCGCGGGTCTCGGGCTCTCGAGGGAGGAAAAGTCGGGGGTGCCTCGCCGAGGTTTAAGTTTCTGCGCGGGATGGGGGTGGGGTGGGGAGAACTCGTGAACTTTGCGGGGCGGGCGCGAAGAGATTCCGTGGGATTTTTCATCATTCTCTCTCCCGGCGTGTATTGACCGGATTCGTTTCAACTGGGCGGGGGTGCAGCCGATGGAGACTTCACTGGCCTGTGGATGGGGCGGCGGCGGCGGGGGGGGGGGGGGTGGGGGGAA